TATAGATTTATTTATGTTTCTACGAAAATATTTCATCTTAAGAATAATTAAGAGTACTAGAAAAGATGAAGAAGTTAAGACTAAACATTTGATAGCGAGACAAGTCTATATAAGATTGGAGAAAGTATTTTTCTCTCAGGTCCGAGTTTCGAGAATGGTCCAAGACTACAGGATTTTAGAGACTCTCGACTTATGCCAGATGGTTTTTTCCCTCCTTTGGTAATGTTTTCAAATCTCAATTTTCAACTACCAAAGTGCACACCTATTTGCAGATAAACCCCTAGAAACTTGCCGAAATTTACCTTCGATTTGCTCTCCCTTGAACTTTTCTCTGGACAGAAGCAAAGGCTTCACTTGTCTCGGATAAAATTTATGCTTATACTTCTACAATCTAGCTTGATCCCCTCTAAGGATTGGTTTTTTAGGACCAAACTCTTAGTTCCACTACTTTGTTCAAGAAAGCAAGACTCTCCACTACAAACTAGCTTGATCCCTTCTAAGGATTACCTATGAGAGAATCTTTGGCAAGAAGAACCTTCCCTGCAACATGAACCGACGCCTCTCTGCTTCTGAAAAAGGCAAAGGCCTGGAGATGCCGAGTGAACCTCCTAGAGCCTCAAGAGTCATGGTGCCACATTTTGACCCCTCTGAGCTAATTCACAACCATAAGTTGATTTTGGTGGGGCGTATTACCAACCCTAAGATCCAGAAGATGTGGGCACTCTTACCCTTCTTAGCTGACCACTGGAAGGTATCATCCCGACCAATAGGAGCTGACCTGGGACAAGGCAGATTCCAGTTTCAGTTCAGCTCAGAAGAGGACTTACAAAAAATTCTGGATAACAGACCGTACCACTTCGCACACTGGATGATTATCCTATAACGGTGGGAGCCTACTGTGGCTTCATCCTTCCCATCTCAGATCTCCTTCTGGGTGAAGGTCCATGGTGTACCTAGTCACCTATGCTCAAAGATAATGCTGGTTAGTCTCGCATCCAACATTGGCCACTATGAAACCTATGAAATCATAACTGCAGCTGCTCGGGTGAGAGTACAAGTGAATGGACTTATGCCCTTGATTACCTCTTCAACCATCGAGTTTAATACGGGAGAGGAAGTCGTAGCTGAGCTGGTTTATGAAAAGCTGGAAAAACACTACTCTAATTGCATCATGCTGGATCATGAAATCAAGGACTGCCCTCAAGCCGAGAAGGTCCCCCATCTCAGTGCTACTAGAAAACAGGATAGACTTAAGTAAGACACAGTAGCCACCAGAACTAGGAAGAACCAGCCTCTAAGACACCAAATGACTATGGCGAACTCTAGGATCTTGGAGAAGACTAGAGAGTATGGATCCTATTATTCAAAAAGAGAAGGCATAAAGGAGACAAGATATGAGAGACCATATAAGGCAAATTCCTACTATCGTTACTCTCACAATCCAAGCAATACAAGATCAATGAATTATGTAGAATCAAGAGACTCCTATCATATGGAACAGCGAAGGCAAGAGCAAGCACCTTAGAAACCCATTTGGGTGGAAAGGAGAAGAAAGGAATTACTTAAAGCTTTGCTGTCTTCTCCAGAGAGATATGCCTCATCTACGAGAAGTTCACCAATGGTGACAACCCCCCAAGCCAAGTCACCAATTGACCTTCCCCCTGAGGCCCTACAGACTGCTATTGGAGAAGTTAGGGAGGTTATGGTCCAATATGCAAACTGTCTGGATCCCTCTTAAAGTGCAGCCCGTAAAGAGAGGTACAAATTAACAGAGGCTGAAGGGAAAGTAGAGGAAACAGCTTCCCTAATGGTTTAAGCAGCCCTGGATCAATCTGCAAGGGACCAACACCTCAGTCAAACCCATCCAAGAATCCTAGTTATGCAGAGACTAGGCCCAACTATCACAATAAATCAAGATGAATTACCTGCATGCCCACCTACACAACCTAGAAAAAGAAAACCGGGAAGACCTCCTGGTAAAAATGCAGGATTGAGTGGACCATTAAGAGGTGCAAGAAGCAGGAAAAGAAATGTGGCAACTGTGCAACCATCTCCTAGAAAGAGAAATACCAAATCGACTAACAATAAGGAGAGAAATGTTGAAGAAAACAGAGTACAAGATAAAGCAGGGCCAAGTGGACAAAGACCTGATATTCCTCGGCCTACTAAGTCCAAGCAACCACCTTCACAAAGAC